AGCTCGATTTGATTTATCAAACGCCTTTTCTCGAGCTGGTAAACGATTTTCGAGCTAGATTTGTTTGAAATCGTTCCCCTGGCTTTCATCGAACCTTCTTTAATCGTTATTTTTCTTTATTTTTCAATGTTTTATGTTTCTTTTGTAAGTATGGGTGAAGAGAGAATGGATCGAATCATCGTGCGACTTAAACACCAATTCCGTCCTGGGCGCAATAGGGTGGGTTTTAAATTGATCAAATCGATCAATTTCATCAATCAAATCAATCAAATCCATCAATTTTCCAAAATTGAGCTTATCTTTATGAAATTGTAAAGAAATTGCTGAAAAACTTCAGCAAAACTGCTCGAAAAGACTTCCAGATCTGCCTCCAGATCTGCCTCCAGATCGGCTTCCAAATCTGCTTCCAGATCTGCTTCCAGATCTGCTTCCAGATCTCCCTCCAGATCTGCTTCCAGATCTGCTTCCAGATCTGCTTCCAAATCTGCTTCCAGATCTGCTTCCAGATCTGCTTCCAGATCTGCTTCCAGATCTGCTTCCAGATCTGCTTCCAGATCTGCTTCCAGATCTCCCTCCAGATCTGCTTCCAGATCTGCTTCCAGATCTCCCTCCAGATCTGCTTCCAAATCGTCTCCTCCTTTTTTTTTCCATTACCTGACTTTAACCTCGAATTTCTTCTTCTACAATTTATCAAATTGAAACAATTTTTTCTAGCAATGAATAGAGGAAAACGTGGGGAATTTAATGAGACAAAAATTGTTTTAATTAAACAATTCTACGCTGAGAAATTTTCGGTTAAAGTCAGCTTGCTCAAGGCAAAAAAATCCGCGCAAAAAAAAGTGTTTTAAACTTTTTTAAAACCAACAAAAAGCCGGCTAGCTGCGATTTTTGTCTTCTTTTCATTTCTCTTTTGTTTTGAAACCCCTTTTGCTTCAAAAAAGTGCTTTCCAAATTGCCTTTTTTAAAATTTAAAATCATTCTTCGAAATCTTATAAAATCTTCCTTTTTTTGACTAAAGCCCATCAAGAACTTGCTTTTGATTTAAGCTTTAAGCTTTTTCTCACAATCTAACCTCACACCGTATACATAGGACCAATTTTGCCCCACCCAGTGTTGTCACCTTCAGCTTTTCGGTTCAGTTACCCACAAAAAAAGACGAATATCGTCAATGAAAGAGATCGTGCGTGTTTTGCGACAAAAAAATGAATTGAATGGAGATTTTTCGATTTCATTGGTCAAATTGGAGGTCATGTTATGCAAAAATGACGGAAAATCGCTTGATTTTTGAATTCCGCAAAAATTCAGTTTTGACGTTCAACTCTGAGACCGGTTTTGGTCCGATATTTTTGAAAGGGAAAATTTTTTTTGAAACTTTTTCGAAATCCTGGAGTACACAACGGGTTTTGAGCCGGGTTTTGAGTATTTTAAGGGAATTTTTTTCATCAACTCATTTCACTCAGCTTTGATAGCTGCAAAATAAGGCCGATCGTTCAAAATTCGATTCAAAGTTGAAAAAAAATCAGAAAACCCTTTGCAATGCCATCCAGATGAATGTAAAATTGAGAAACCCGAAGGCCCAGCTGCGACTTTTTGCTTTTTGCGAGAAATTTCGATGATCAAATGACGAATATGACCAATTTTTGCCCCGAAAATGAGTTCTGCCCCGAAAATTGCGAATTTCATCTCGTGCATGCCACTTTTTCAGCTTTTTGCCCATCCTGGATGTCACAGCAAATAAATAACAACATAGAATGAAAAAAGTCGAAATTTAAAGAAAATCTCATTTTTGAAGTTCATTGAAGCTGAAATTTTGAAAAATTCATTTTTTGAGCTTTTGAGCTTGGAATGGATTTCAAAATTTTGCTTTTCCACCTTTGCCAAAACGTGTTGTGCGCTCCAGATTGAGCAATGGGCTATTGGAAAGGGCTCAGACTTAGACGCCAGACGAGTTCCGTTTGCAAAAGTTCTGACTAGCCGCTTGAAATGGATTTCAACATTTTGCTTTTCCACCTTTTCCAAAACGTGTTGTGCGCTCCAGATTGAGCAATAGCACTGGAAAAAGTCTAGAAATCTGTGCGCCAGACGCTAGGCGTTTGTGCAAAGTGACAGTGTTCCTTTGGAGTTGTTGGCTTTTGGGGATTTTCGACGCTTTGACTTTACCGGCTCTTCCTGTGCGCTCCAGATTGAGCAATAGCACTGGAAAAAGTCTTGAAATCTGTGAGCCAAACGCTATGCTATAAGAGAGATGAAAAAGTGAAGAAAAGTCTTTCTATTTCTTTCTAAATCTCTTTCTTCCTTTCTTCAGCCAATTTTAAGGCAATGGGAAAATCTGGAAGTGTCTTTGTGAAAAGGATTTCCGTAAAAATCGAAAGCCAGCTTTAAAGCCCCCAAAAAATCCAATGAATAGGTCAAAAAATCCAATTTTAACGCTTTTTCTTCGCGACTTTTTGCTTTTCATTGAAAGCTGGAACGTGTTTTCAGCTATTTTCAAACAAAATACGTCAAATTTTCGAAACTTTTCTGGTCAATTTTATCTTCAAACTTTGCCGGTTCAATTACGCAATTCTTGAAATTCTTGAAATTCATATTTCCTATATTTTGTTGAAATGGCTAACTGGTACCATCCGATGCCACCCAGGATGATCGATTTGCAGGTAATCAAACAAAACCCTCAACCCAATCCAGAGAAAAGCGCGCAGAGTTGCGCGCTTGAACCGACGACTTTTTTTCACTTGACAGTTTCCTATAAAATTCGATGAATTCTTGCTTTGTGTATTCCAGATTGCCAAATTTTTCAATTCCCATGTCATTCTTTGCAAGACTGGCCGAGAAAACGTCGAGAACTCAAAGCAACGAACTCCACTTTTCCCCAAAAATACGTTTGTCTAAGAAAACCTCGTAAATCACCCCAATGACATCCAGATCGCCTAAAAACTTTCAAATCTCATCCAGTTATTTGTGAAATTTTGCGTGAAATTGAGTCAAAGTCTTTTCTGGAGACACTCGAGTTCCGTCTTTGACTCCTTTGACTCCTCTGACTTCCTTGAATCGAATTCCCGTCGAATCTTTTGCTCTTTTCGTTTTCCATCTCCAGGTATCCACTTGGGACTCTTCTCCTCCAAAATCTCAAAATAAAATATTCTAGCCTTAGAAAAAAAAGAGCTGGGAAAATTCGGGGAAAAGAAAAATCTTTTTTCGTTCGAAATTTTGATCATCGCCTTTAAAATTTACATTTAAATTCTCAATTTTACATTCATCTGGATGTCACTGCGAAGGGTTTTCTGATTTTTGAATCGAATTTTCAATTTTGAAACGATGAGCCTTATTTTCCAGCCATCAAAGCTGAGTGAAGTGAGTTAAACAAAAAAATTCCCCAAAAATATTCAAACCCGGCTCAAAACCCGTTGTGCGCCCCAGGATTTCGAAAAAGTTTCAAAAAAGTTTTCCCTTTCAAAAATATCGAACCAAAACCGATCTCAGAGTTGAATGGAAAATCTGTTTTTTTTTAAGTTTCGAATTTTTTGATTCTATGTTGTTATTTATTTGCTGTGACATCCAGAATGGGCAAAAAGTTCGAAAAATTTGCGTGGACGAGATGAAATTCGCAATTTTCGGGACAGAACTCATTTTCGGGGCAAAAATTGGTCATATTCGTCATTTGATCATCGAAATTTCTCGCAAAAAGCAAAAAGTCGCAGCTGGGCCTTAAAGTTTCTCATTTTTACATTCATCTGGATGTCACTGCGAAGGGTTTTCTGATTTTTGAATCGAATTTCGAAACGATGAGCCTTATTTTCCAGCCATCAAAACTCAGTGAAGTAAGTTAAACAAAAAAAATTCGCCAAAAATATTCAAACCCGGCTCAAAACCCGTTGTGCGCTCCAGGATTTCGAAAAGTTTAAAAAAAAATTTATTTCCACAAATTTCCGCGCAAAACCGATCTCAGAGTTGAACGTCACAACTGAATTTTGCGGAATTCAAAAATCAAGCGATTTTCTGTCATTTTTGCATAACATGACCTCCAATTTGACCAATGAAATCGAAAAATCTCCATTCAATTCATTTTTTTATTGCAAAACACCCGTGATCTCTTTCATTGACGATATTCGTCTTTTTTTGTGGGTGTAGAGCTGAAGGTGACAACACTGGGTGCGGCAAAATTGGTCCTATGTATTTTTACATTCATCTGGATCCCCTGCCAAAGGGTTTTCTGATTTTTGAACGATGAGCCTTATTTTCCAGCCATCAAAACTGAGTGAAATGAGTTGATGAAAAAAATTCCTCTAAAAATATTCAAACCCAGCTCAAAACCCGTTGTGCGCTCCAGGATTTCGAAAAAGTCTCAAAAAAAAAATTTCTCTTTCAAAAATATACCAAAACCTATCTCAGAGTTGAACGTCACAACTGAATTTTGCGGAATTCAAAAATCAAGCGATTTTCTGTCATTTTTGCATAACATGACCTCCAATTTGACCAATGAAATCGAAAAATCTCCATTCAATTCATTTTTTTGTCGCAAAAAACCCGTGATCTCTTTCATTGACGATATTCGTCTTTTTTTGTGGGTAACTGAACCGAAAAGAGTACTTCTTCGGAAATCTTAGGAAGTCGTTGAGCAAAGTTTGGTAACTGAACCGCTTCAGAGCTTCAGAGCGATCAATTTACTATTATGATCTTATTTTATTCTCAGAATTCTCTCCATTTGAAAGGGAAAGTTTATTGGTTTCAAAGGCCACACAAACAGAAATTGCCTTTCTTTTGTGTTGAAAAAAGACGGAAATTAGCTTTTGTGTGGGGAAGAGAATTTGGAAAGAAAAAAAAATGGCTATTCTTTTTGCCCCCAGAAACAGAGAACGATTCCCAGTTCCCCAGGCAGCTTCACTCATTCCTCCTCTCCAAAATTTGCCCACAGAAATTCGATTTACTTGAAAAAGTCCTGTGTGCCATCCAGGATCCCCATTTTTTTGAAAAAGTTTCACTTTGCCGATATTCTGTCGAGAATGAACGTCGTTGTTGCTGACAGAGCGCTTGGAGTGAGTCATTTTTGGGAATTTCTGGGAATTTTGCGTATTTTTCTTTGCTGACGCCTGGTGTGCGCTCCAGATTGAGCAATGGGCTATTGGAAAGCGCTTAGACTCGGACGCCAGACGAGTTGTGTTTGCAAAATCGTTCTGACTGGCCGCTTGAAATGGGATTTCGAAAATTTTGCTTTTCCACCTTTTCCAAAACGTGTTGTGCGCTCCAGATTGAGCAATAGCACTGCAAAAAGTCTTGAAATCTGTGCGCCAGACGCTAGGCGTTTGTGCAAAGTGACAGTGTTCCTTTGGAGTTGTTGGCTTTTGGGGATTTTCGACGCTTTGACTTTACCGGCTCTTGCTGTGCGCTCCAGATTGAGCAATAGAACTGGAAAAAGTCTTGAAATCTGTGCACCAGAGGAGTTGCGTTTGCGCGTAAGAGGTGTCCATAATTCAAAAGGGTTCCAAGCTTTTGATAAAAGAAAAAAAGAAAATAAGAAAGTCTTTAGGTGTCGCTGGACTTGGAGCGGCTGGCGATGGATGGGTCGAGTTCTGTGCTGGGCAAAGGGATCAATCACCCCTCGTCATCCTCAATTCTCGACTCGATTTTCGACAAAACTGGCCCAAATAACAAGTTGGTTTAAGCGATTTGCAAGCAGAAGGTTTTCAAGAAAAATTCAGCCAGCAGCTAGGCTAGCCAGCAACTAGGCTAGCCAGCAGCTAGGCTCTAGCCAGCAGCTAGGCTCTAGCCAGCAGCTAGGCTCTAGTCAGCAGCTAGGCTCTAGTCAGCAACTAGGCTCTAGCCAGCAGCTAGGCTCTAGCCAGCAGCTAGGCTCTAGCCAGCAACTAGGCTCTAGCTTTTGCCAAGCTTTGGCTCGCAGCCAAGCGCTCTAGACACCGTAGATAAGCGCCTGGCTTTTAGCTTCATCAAAATTTCTATTCTAATCGATTCTATTCCTAGTTTGGCTATTTTCCCGCAAATGAATTTGGTGGGGGAATATTTTCGGACTTGATACATTGATCTTTTGTGTATGTAAATGTAAAAACGTCTCTTTCCATTACCCTGCTTGACCAGGCTTGGTACCGTACGCTTTGGTCATCCTAGGTTCAGAAAAAACCCGAAATGCGCTTAGACTTAGGCTTTGATTTACTAGAGAAGTGCAACAGATTGTTCAATATTGTTTTTGGCTTTTTAAGTCTCTAGGAAATCTGCTTATAGAATCGGGGTGTGATTTTGGAAATCCCATGCAAAACAAAACGCTCATAACTTTTGAAAGAAAGTTATTTTGCCGATTTTGAAAGCACATTCGGAATCTCCGGGAAAAACTTCATAAGATGAGCTAGATTACAAAAGATCATCTTGATCTGTTGCACTGCTTATTGCAAAGGCTAGCGGCTAGTGTCTAATCGATTTGGGTTTAGGTTGTGCGTATTAGGCTCAGGCTTAGGCTCAGGCTCGGGCTCAGGCTTAGGCTCAGACTCAGGCTTAGTGCAAAGGCTAGCAGCTAGTGCCTCGCACGACGTCTATTTCGTTTTCGGCTAAACCCCATTCTCTGGATCTCGGCCAGTTATCAGAGCTATGGGACAAGCGCTTGGCGATGCTCATGCGCTTCCCATAGGAGCATTCTGGCAAATTTTCAGCTTTCTGTCATGTCTAGAAGTTGAGATATAGAAAGTCGATCTTGGGGTTCTTTATGGTTGGGCTTAGGGTTAAGCTAAGGCTCAGGCTTAGGCTTAGGCTAAGGCTCAGGCTCAGGCTTAGGCTTAGGCTTAGGCTAAGGCTAAGGCTCAGGCTCGGGCTCAGGCTCGGGCTCAGGCTTAGGCTTAGGCTAACCCTAAGCCTAAGCCTGAGTGAACCGAGAGTCAAGAGAGGGTTCTTTTCATTTCTAAACAAAGCTGGTAGTCAAGATATCATTTTAAAATGATAATATGATATCATTTTTTCTTTTTTTGGATTCTTTCAAGCGATCACCGAGATCTTTTTTCAAATTGCTCCCAACTTTTTCGCCAATTTCCGTTTACCGGTCCGAATTTGGTGTATTTTTTCTCGGTGACATCCAATTTAACATTTGCGTGCAAAAGAATGATCCCATTTATTGAGGCAAACAATTTCCTTGAGCCAACAATTTACTTGAGCTCAAAAACAATCTCTCTCCTCTTTTCGTCAGAATCGGAAAGGAAAACACGCATAAATTTCATGAACATTGCAAGGATTGCGTTTTTGCAATCTCTGCGATTCAATTTGAATAATTCATTGGCAGAAAAGATGACTGACGGAGGGAAATCTCGAATCTCGAATCTCTAGAAATCTCTAGAATCTAGAAATCTCTAGAAATCTCTAGAAAACGCCTCAAAACGAAATCCCCAATCCTCAAAGCCCAAAAATCTTTATTCCAATCAATTCCAGGAGTTGAAACCGATTCTCACTAAATTTCTAGAGCACAGTGACGCTCAAAGCTGTCACAGCCACTTGCTCAGGCTCAGACTCAGACTCAGGCCAGGCTCAGACTCAGACTCAGGCTCAGGCTCTAAGCCTAAGCCAAAGCTGTCACAGCCACTTACTCAGGCTCAGACTCAGGCTCAGACTCAGACTCAGGCTCAAGCTCTAAGCCTAAGCCTAAGCCAAAGCTGTCACAGCCACTTGCTTTATTCCATCTCGCTAAATTCTTTTAAAATGCTATCCATAATGTATGAAATTGAGCGCGAACAAGAGCGTGTCATTCTCTACTAAATGGGAATCGAGTCGAAGCTCAGACGGAGACACCCGGGTCTCGACGCTGTCCTTAGCGTCCCTATCAGCGTTCCCTATCAGTTGGAGTCCGTTTCTAGCTAGCTAAACCCAAAATTTTAATCGATTTTCGTTTTTCCTGGATGTCACAACGAGCCTAGGCTCTATTTTTAACAATGTTCAGTTGAAAGAAAAGATCTTGATTCTTGATTTGAGTTGACACGAATTTTTAGGTATTCTAAACGTAAAGATTAATATTTTATTTAATATTCTTTTTTCTGGATGTCACAATGACTATTTAGTGGATGTTAGCTCAAGATTTTAGCTATTAGCTCAAAAGCGAAAGTATAGCGGATCACCGACTCGCTCTCAGACTCACGTCAGCTCAGTCAGCTCAGTCAGCTCAGTCTCAGACTAAGTCAATTCTTTTAACTGTCTTAATTCTTTTTTGGCAATCCTGGGCATCACACTAGTTTTAGGATTAGAAAAATCTTAAAAAATGAAGATTTAAACTTTTTGCTCTTTCTAGGAAATCTTGAGATCTTGAGAAATTCATTTTCGCTTTGAATCTCCAAATTTCCAGTGTCGTCGGGGTGATTGTGCTGTGCTGTATCGTGGCGGCAGCAATCGTGCTTCTCTGCGCCGGTCTCTTGATGTACAGGTGATTCAAAGAAGCCAACTATGGCTGAAAGTCATCAAAAACTATCAGAAGTCATTTAATTGGTCAATGATAGGAATAGACAATAAAGAAAGGCAAAAAAGGAAGGAAAAAAAGGAAGGCAATAAAGAAAGTCAATAAAGTAAGCCAACAAAGTAAGCTAATAAAGTAAGCTAATAAAGTAAGCTAATAACGAAAGCCAACAAAGTAAGCCAATAAGATAAGCCAACAAAGGAAGCCAATAAAGAAAGTCAATAAAGTAAACCAACAAAGTAAACCAACAAAGTAAACCAACAAAGTAATCCAACAAAGTAATCCAACAAAATAAGCCAATAAAATAAGCCAACAAAGGAAGCCAATAAGATAAGCCAATAAAGTAAGCCCATAAAGAAAGCCAATAAAGAAAGCCCATAAAGAAAGCCAATAAAGTAAGCCCATAAAGAAAGCCAATAAAGTAATCCAATAAAGTAAACCAACAAAGTAATCCAACAAAGGAAGTCAATAAAGTAAGCCAATAAAGGAAGCCAATAAGATAAGCCAATAAAGTAAGCCAACAAAGCAATCCAATAAGATAGGCCAACAAACTAAGCCAATAAAGTAATCCAACAAAGTAAGCCAACAAAGTAAGCCAATAAAGAAAGCCAACAAAGTAATCCAACAAAGAAAGCCAACAAAGTAAGCCAACAAAGAAAGCCAATAAAATAAGCCTGGCCAAGCCAAGCCCAATTCATTTCGTTTACCATCAGAGCAAATTTTGATTTCAAACTTGACTCAAGCGATTAGCTGATCATTTTCTTCTGATTGCTTTATTTTTAGGTTTATTTTCCAGGTTGTGCAGCCGAACATTGGACGGAGTTCGGCGAAAAATGACAATGGACTTTACAAAAGCTTTTCCTGGCGTCATTGCACACCCGAAAAGAGTTTACGAAATACAAGCCGAAGAGGGAGTCTTCAGGTGAGTTCTGTGCTGTGGACGTGAGCTTAGAAAACTAGAAAATCCAGTGTAGCTGTCAAATTGTCAAAAATCTCTCCAAAAATCTGTCTAAAAGTCTCTCCAACTGTCTCTGCTACTCATTTACTCATTTGCTAATTTGAGTAATTAGAATCGACTTGAATAAGTCGATTTTTGAAAGGACAACCTTCAGCTTTAGCTTCAGCTTTAGCTTCAGCTTTAGCTTCAGCTTTAGCTTCAGCTTTTACTGAGTGAAAAGTTGTGAAAAGTTTCAGTTCCAATGACATGCCAAGCGAAGAAGATCAGCCAAAAGCCGGTGATTTACGACGGGATCGAACGAGTCGAACCTCGAGCCAATCAGGAGACTCGTTACCGTCTCGTGAGTGTTTTAAGCCATAAGCCAGCCAGCCACAAGCCAGCCAGCCATAAGCCAACCAGCCATAAGCCAACCAGCTTTGGTAGTCAGATATTCTTGTTTCCTGGATGTCACAACGAGCTTAGGCTGGATTTCTAAGGCTATAGTTCAATTGGAAAAAAAAACCCGCCTTTTTGAGTTGACGGGAGATTTTTTAGTTATTCTAAATGTAAAGATCAAAATTTTATTGCATATTTCTGATTTCTGGATGTCACAATGGTTATTTAGTGGCTTTGAGCTTAGAAAATTAGAAAATCCAGTGTAGCCGATCAGCGATCGATCACAGACTCGACTCAGCTCTCCTTCAGCTCTCCCAATTTTTAAATCCCCATTTTTAGGGATTCTGGGCTGCACACTAGATTCAGGATTATTCAAATTGTAGCTAGGAAATAAGGAAAGCATTCAAGAGCTTCAAGAGCCTCAAGAGCTTCAAGAACCTCAAGAGCTTCAAGAGCCTCAAGAGCCTCAAGAACCTCAAGAGCTTCAAGAGCTTCAAAAGAGCTTCAAGAGCCTCAAGAGCTTCAAGAACCTCAAGAGCTTCAAGAGCCTCAAGAGCCTCAAGAACCTCAAGAGCTTCAAGAGCTTCAAAAGAGCTTCAAGAGCCTCAAGAGCTTCAAGAACCTCAAGAGCTTCAAGAGCTTCAAGGGCTTCAAGGGCTTCAAAATTAGCTTCAAAATTTCAGTGGCTTCTCCAAGTCCGACAATCGAGAATCTTCCGGGAGCGTCTGATTCACCAACTCAAGAAGAGTTACCATCAAATTTCCGAAAAAAGGAGCGCAAAGTGAGTGCAGAAAAGCGTTTGAAATTGATTTCATTTTGATTTCTTAGAAATTGATATAGATTTTCTTCTTAAAATTCGAAATCTAAAATCCTGTCTCTAAGGTTTTTCATTGATAAAACCCAAGGGAAACAGGATTTTCCCCAAAAAGCTTTTCAATTTGAATTTGATTTGAATTTGAACAGGAACAGGATTTGAAGCTTATTGAAGCTTATTGAAGCTGATGCTATTGAAGCTGATGCTATTGAAGCTGATGCTATGGAAGCCGAAAAAGCTTTATTAAGGCCAATTAATGACTTCAATAGCCAAGCTGACATCCAGATACCGTAAATACTGTAATAGTGCCCCACCCCCATAATGACGGTGTGGAGTGTTGCGTAGTCTAGCTTTGAACGCGTTTTTCTCGACACTCGTTTACGCTACAATGCTCATTTAAATATCAAAAAATAGCTGAAATTCAGGGCTATTTTTTGATATTTAAACGAGCATTGTAGCACCAACGAGTGTCGAGAAAAACGCATTCAAAGCTAGACTACGAAACACTCCGCACCGAAGATCAGACATCCAGACATCCAAATTGTTAGTTTTTAGATTCACAAAGACTCCGTTTGTGCATTCGTCTTTCGAAAAGATCATCCAAAAAAAGCCTTTTCCTCAACTTGTTTAAAATTTCAACAATTTTCAACAAATTTCAACAAAAATCAACGAAAATCAAAATCTACGGAGTATTTTTTTCTTTCTCTTTTCAATTTTTAAATACGGGTTTTGCTCAAATGAATTTGATTCGATTTGATTTGATTTTTGCTTTCTTTTTTTTTGTAAATAAATTTTTGAAAGATTTCTGAACACCCTGCTAATTAGAATTGTGATACTCTCGCCTTACTAACACATTAATTACCTGGTAGAATTGCTTTGTGTCTGGAGAGAATATCAAGCTAGGGCAGCAGTTTAAGACCAACAGAATCTAAGCCCCACATCACAATCATTCTAGAAAGCAATCTTTCAGCAGTCTGCCTGCCTGCCTGTCTGCCTGTCTGTCTGTCTGTCTGTCTGTCTGTCTGTCTGCCTGTCTGCCTGCCTGCCTGCCTGTCTATCTGTCTGTCTGTCTATCTGTCTGTCTGTCTGTCTGTCTGTCTGTCTGTTTGTCTGTCTGTTTATCTGAGTGTATTTTAAGCGCATGTTTGGTCACTATTTTGAATGCTTAAACGAGGAGCTGGAACCGCTCCTCGTTTAAGCGTCTCATTAAACTTCTAGAGCACAGTGACGCTTAAAGCTGTCACAGTCATTGGCTCCTTTCCCTATACAATACTGCCGTTCGCTCCTTTCAATCCAGCACCCACAAAAGACCAACAACAACTTCTCCATTCTCCTCTTCTTCTGAACAGAATTTGAAATTCCCACCACATTGATCAAATTCAAAATGATCGAATTTGAAAAGAGATCAACAGTTTGAAGATCCCGGTTTGCCACAATGGGACAGTCAAACCTAAAACGAAGCTGTCGACCTATCCTTTTACTTTACCGAGCTGAAAAGCGAAGTCTCTTAAGCTAGACGCGTATGCCAGATGTAGAGCGATTGTCGGCGCGAACAAAGAGCACCTCTTTACAAATTTCTCTTTCTTTGATAGATATTCAGCTGGAAATTTCCATCGAGGGGTTTTCGAGGTCGGTGAATCGGTTAGAGATTTTCATGGCCTTTCTGGCCTAATCCTTTTCGTTATCTTTTACGAGGAAATGCGGAAGTCTATTGTCTATCGTTTTTCTGTGAGAGTTAATGGAAAATAGAAAAAATACAGATACGTTGAGTAACTTTAGTTAAAAGGAGAAGAGAATCTTAAATTGGTTTACTCTGAAATATTGGACATCTAGATCATCTGGAAATATTAGATATCTTGATCTGGATGCTGGTTTATGGTACGAGAGCTTGCTGAGGACGAGAGCTTGCTGAGGACGAGAGCTTGCTGAGGACGAGAGCTTGCTGAGGACGAGAGCTTGCTGAGGACGAGAGCTTGCTGGAGTACGAGAGCTTGCTGGAGTACGAGAGCTTGCTGAGGACGAGAGTTTGCAAGGACGAGAGCCTGCTGGAGGACGAGAGCCTGCTGGAGGACGAGAGCCTGCTGGAGGACGAGAGCCTGCTGGAGGACGAGAGCCTGCTGGAGGACGAGAGCCTGCTGGAGGACGAGAGCCTGCTGAGCCTTTAAACTGGTTTACGGTTTTCCAGGAATATCGAGATTTTCCTTTCAGCTCCTTTTGAGGTAACCTGCAGAAGGAAAAAAAAAATATGCGTTGATTGAGGAGCGAAATCGGAAGTCGAACCAACCGCTTTTTGTGTATGTGGATGGGAAAAGGGATTTGTGTCAAATTGAATCTTTTCGGGGGGCCCTCCTCTTCCTATTTCTCTTTGATGCTTTGACTCCAATTGACCCTCGCATCTTTTCCTTCTTTGCACAAAAGGAAAAGAAGGAAAAGGAGTGAAGGAGTGGAAATCGTGGAACTCACACTCACTCCTAAAATCTTTTCTTTTCGAAAATCGAGAGATTTCGACTCTGAGTCTTCTAATAATCCTTGAAATGACTTTTTTTTTTAAAATTTGCATTTAAATGCTATTCAGAATTTTAAATTCTATTCAGGAGCCTGAATTTTATTTCAAATCAACCGCTTTGCTCACCTCTCTCATTCCAAATGTACTTTGTACTCTCAAAAATGTTCATATAACTTTTAGCGGTCAAATAAATGATCAAGCGATCAAATAAATGTGTTTCAATTAGTCGACTCGATCAAATGAATGTCTCCAATTGATTTATGTTCTACTCAAGCATTATACTGAAGCATTTCTTATTTTAAACTAAATCCTGGAACGCACACTAGATTTTGATCCGGTTTAATTACCCGATTTTTCTTTTTTAGAATTTTGCATTCCTGCCCTGTCGTTGTCGCGGCTGCTTTTTAGTTGTGTTTTTATGTTTTTCTAATATTTCTTATTTTAAACGAAATCCTGGAACGCACAAGAGCTTCTGGTTTGGTTTAATTACGCAATTTTCCTTTTAGAGAATTTCTCATTTCTGCCCGGTCGTTGTCGTGACTGCTTTTTAGCTGTATTTCCATTATTTTCTAATATTTCTTTTTTTGAACTAAATCCTGGAACGCACGCTAGCTTTTGAACCGGTTTAATTACCCAATTTTCCAAGAAAAAACAAAATCAACTCGAGTGCTGTGTTTTGTTTGATTTATGATAAAGAAAAGGCTAATCAACGGCTATTTGATTTTTCCTTATCTCTACAAATTCGGTTTCTTATCTCTACCAATTTGGTTCATTATCTCTTCTCCTAGTTACCGAGGATTGGAGAGGATCGAGATTGGAGAGGATCGAGATTGGAGAAGTATTAGTTTGATGCAAAAGTCTTTTTCATTTTTTTCGTACTTCTTTTGAAAAATAACAAAGTCATCAATGAACCTATGGTTTGCTCTAAATGAAAAGTGTTTATTGTTGAATTTCCCATCTTTTTAAGTCAATTTGGGCTCACTTTCAAGCAAATTCGAGAGTGGTTTTTCATAAAAATCTATAAAAACCTCTATAAAGAAATTGGCTGAATGAATTTCTCTGAAACTTCTGAAAAAATATCGAACTTTTTGTGCTCTATCTTTTATTGTATTAACATCAAGATTGGTTTCCTTAAGCTAAAGCGTCTAAAAAGGCATCATCGAGCCGTCGCCTTTTTTTGACTACCCGACTTTAGGCTCTCAAAAAAAATCTAGACATAAGACATTTTAAACTCGTTTTAATGTCATTTTGCAGAAAAATAATTGGCCTTTTCGAATGCAATAAACCGTTGTTCAAATTTGTTACTTTTTAACGGAAGTACGAAAAAAAATGAAAAAGACTTTTGCATCAACCTAATAGATCGGTTCAAAATCGATCGACTAAAGGAAAACTTGTGAAAACAGCCAATCTTTGAGCACTTAAACTAGCAAAATCTTAAATCGTGGAAGGCACGAGGAAAAAAGAAAGCTTAAACAAAGTTATTAGCATAAAGTTTTCAATGTCAAGAATTCTCTCTTCAGACTCGGAGAATTTTTGAGATTTTTGAGATTCGACTTGTCACCGGCTTGTCACAACAACTCAAAAGCCCTTTCAAGCCTTCGAATTTTTAATTTCATCCATCAAATAGCAGAGATTCTCGCTGAAATCGAGAACTTTAAAAAACGAACACAAAAAATTTCAAAATCAACTACTGCTTTTTTTTGTTCAAACAGATTTATGCTCTAATTTTCATTCAATTGAAACTTTTCTTTTTTCAAACCAAATCCTGGAACGCACGCTAGCTTTTGAACCGGTTTAATTACTCAACATTTAACAAATGTCAGATTCGGTTCAGTTACTCAACGTCGTTTTTCTATTTTCCCCATCTGTACACTGTTGTTGATGTACTCTAAAATAGAGCATCTTTTCGCTGAAGTGAGAAGTGAGGGGATGGATCAGGCCACGAAATTCGGTTATGGGTGCCAGCAGAGCCGTTAGAGAGGAGAGGAAGAGAGAGAGAGGAAGAGAGAGAGGAAGAGAGAGAGGAAGAGAGAGAGGAAGAGAGAGAGAAAGAGAGAGAGGAAGAGAGAGAGAGAGAAAGAGAGAGAGGAAGAGAGAGAGAAAGAGTGGAGACAAGATCGAGAGTCAAAAGCCTTGAGAAAGACACGGGTTCCTGATTTTGCGCCCCCCGGTTGCGCAAGCTGGATAGCACACGGCGATAGGGGAACACAACTCATTTACCGCAAATGAAATCGGGCGCGTCTTAGCGTTGAATAGAAGGGAGTTCAGCCGGATTTTCCCCAGCTCTTCATCAGTGCCCATTTCTCGAATCGATCTTGTCTAAAATAAAGCTTTTCTGAAGTATTTCTTATTTTAAACGCAATCCTGGAGAGGACAGAAGCTTTAGAAAGAAGTGAGGAAGATGGGGAAGATGGGGAAGATGGGGAAGATGGGGAAGATGGGGAAGAGCTGGGGAGGATGGGGAAGAAGTGAGGAAGATGGGGAAGAGCTGAGGAAG